TTTAAAGTACCGCTATAATGAATTTGCGAATTTGAATGCAACATTATAGAAACATTGAATGATCATTAATCAAATGCTGAATTGTTAATGTGTAACATTAAGCAGAAAAATTTATTTTGTCCCACTCATACACACTTCATTTGCAAAATTCATTTCACGCTACTATTTGATTATCCCAAATTTAAGAAAACAATTATTATTATTTGATTCTCCCAAATTCTAATTTCAAAAACAAAGAAAAATTAAGAAGACACATCCGTGTTTTCCATGGCTGCCTCTTTCCTCTCGTCTCGTGTATATTTCGACTTTTATTCCTTCGCCTTTTATTCTCCCTCCTTCCAACGATCGCTAAAACGGAAACGCAGCCGGAAGGGGCGCCCTGTTCCGGACGTGAACGGTCTCCGCGTTTAAAATTTAAACGTTCTGACGCATAAGGAACAAGCATTAGTCAGATTCTCGTGTTCGTCAAATTCTCCTGGGTTTTGACTTCTAAATGGAATAAAGGTGGATTATCCAACGAGATATTCCAGTGCACTCTAAATGCACAGTGTCCCTCGTTACGGCACAATAAACAACTTATTATCTCGTAGGTGGATTCTTACTGAAAGAAGATTAGTTAAGACTTTTATAGCCATTTTATAATTTTATAATTTATTATCTCGTGGGTGGATTCTTACTGAAAGAAGATTAGTATTTTTCAGCTAAAATTGGCATTTTATAATTTTTTTCCAATCCCTTTTCGTTTCACGTGTTTGATGGAACAATTTTCGTTTCACATATTTGTTGGAAAAATGTATGTTTCGTATATTCGTTTCGCATATGTTCTGGAAAAATTTTTGTCTCGCATATTCGTTTCGCATATTTGTTGGAAAAATTTTTGTTTCGCATATTTGTTCGGAAAATTTTCCATTGCACGAGTTCAGCGCGGAGAAACGTGGTGGTTAACTGAGTTTTTCGCGCAATTTTCTTCCGCGCTCATATCGCGACTCTGTTTACGGCTGTTTTTGGCCCCGTTTATTTTGACACGTAGGCTCAGTGCGAGGTTCATCGATTCTACTCGATGAAGTTTTCAAACGTACTCTGCCCGTACAAAAAGGCGCGATAAACGCGAAATTTCCATGAAAACGAGTGGCACGCGGTTCCGAACCTGCCCGCGGTCAATCAACTGCGATGATTAAGCCGAATAGTTCACAGAGGGCAGCGTTTTGGCGTGTAATATTGTCTGAGTATATCGAGCACCGCAACGCAGAATTTTCATTAAAATAATTTTCGGAATAAAAATTACTTGCGCGACGCATAATAACGTTTCGTCATTGTACGCAAGTATAACATATGCGAAGAATTTATGAATAATTGTACGAAGGATAGGGCAAAAATTCGTCCACTTTGAAAATTTAGAGTACTATGAAAATCTTATTAGGACAAAGTAACCAAAGCTTTCTCAGAACCACATGTAATAATAAAACAGAATTTCTTCTAAGATTCTGTTTACTAAATAACCCTCTTTCTATTTAATTCTAGGCTCTATTTTTTTATATTGAATAATATATGAGGGATATATTGATCATAATAACATTTTACAATTGTATATACCACTGTATAATACCAATTAATATTCAATTATATTTAACAAGTAAGAAGACACTGATTGGCGCTGCAGAACAAAGCTGCGCCATCTGGCGGGAAAATCCGGTACTACTTACTGGCCAATCCGCTAACAAAGCAAAAAAACCGCCACTCTCTATGATATTCGCAATTTGAAAACGAAGGGAACGTTTCCTCTATAGAACCAAAGCGACGAGGCTCTTTTTCGGGATGCCTTTGAATACTTGCCAATTAATAGCTAACGAATAATCCGCTCGCTTGACAGCGAGCAAACAGCGCCGCGCAACGAGACCAAACAGCCTTATTAATACTCGTCGAGCAAACATTTTCGCGCAAACACCAATTAGTAGGCACGATAACGTCGGAGGAGGGTGGGAAAAATCGGCGTGGGGTGATCTTTGCGAGAAAACGACCGCTTAATAATTCACCACGCTTACGCCACCGGGAAAATTTACAACGCGCGACATCGCCGCGACTAGCTTTAGTCCGATTAAAGCTCGAAGCGACCACGACTCCTACGGCTGATTTACGATTCACCCCCTGTGGCGCCCCGTGCACACGCCTCCACGCACTGGCCACGTGTTTCGTTGAAACCTGAATGTGCTGAAGATGCAGAGTAGTGATAGGTGTCCTAAGACGTTGATAAGAGATTTTCTAACCAGTCCCCAATTTTTCTATAATTACTTTATTGTAGTGTTTGATGAGAAAGGTAGGGTCCTTCTTTAGAATTGTTGAACTTGTGTTATTTGCACTCCCCGCACGTTTGATTGAAACCTGAATATGCTGAAGATGAAGAATAGTGATGGATGGCCAGTGACAATGATAAAAGAATTTTGTTTGACGCTTTGATTTTTCCTTGATTATTTTATTGTAGTGTTTCATGGAAGAAATTGAGTCTTTATCTAAAATTGTCGAGGGTGAGTTTTGTGTCTGGTTGAAAAATGGATGTTGAAGATGAAAAGTAATGCTGAATGTTCAGAGATGCCGATAGAAGAGCTTTTGTTCACTTCTTTTGAAGATTTTTGTTTTCCATAATTAATTTAATGAATTGCAGTGCATATTTGAAAGAGTTAATATCAGAATTTACATGTTTATCAAACGTTCCTATATTCTTTTTTCTCCTTGTATCTTAATATCACTTGCATGTAAAAGATTAGGCACGATGGTGTTTCTCTGTTACTCTACTAATATTGTTGAAGAGAGAAAAAGAAAGGAAGAAACGATAGAAGTAGGTAATAGTAATTTTTAATAAATGGTTTTAGAGTCAACCATGGACGTTGTTCGAACAAACAATAAACGCACCCTAATCATAAACGCAATTTCATTCGAAAAGCATAAAATGTTAAGCAAAAGTAGTTGCATCCAGTCAGACTAATTCCAACTTGCAATATTTTTTTCAACAACGACGAGATTCAGAGACAATCGCGTGGAATAATTAAAGTGGAACACTCTGTATATGTACCGTGGTTGAACCGTAATAACGGCGTAATTGACATACCTTCGTTAATTATCGTCCTGCTTATTAAGCTAATCTACCCCAGAAAGAGCACAAGTGGGGATAATGATGCGGTTGAAAATACGGGATTGTGCCATGGGTGCGTGGGCAGCACATGGAAATTTTGTATCTACTTATAAATGGTTCAGAAAAATTTTCTTGCTCCATCATCGATCTTTATTTTTACAATCGATACCCGAACGTATTAAATAATAATAAATACTTTTGTTTTACGTAACAGATAACTAGTATAGTCGTTATTTCAATGTAGTATTTCAAGTATAACGATGTGCTAGCATATTACCTATCTACCAAAATATTAATTTAAATATGGAAGAGAACGTGTTTTCAAACCCCACGAGAATGAAATAATTGGTTGCATTATTTAATTTCATATTTTTAATCACTATTGACCAATATTGATTTTACGAAAATAATAATATTCTCTATTCTCTGAAAATAAATTCGAAGCCCTTGAATTTTGATATTTTATGACATTTAATTAAAACAATATTTCGTGTATATTATAACAAAGTTAGTTTATATTACATTTGATTTATCCAAAATGTTTTTTAAAAATAGTTTTTTGTGTTCTTTTAATGTATATACATTGGAGAAAAATTCTAGTATAAAATTGATCAAATACAGGAAAAGCGGACTCACTGTCTCACGAATGATTGACTAATACTACTAGCACGGTTCCTAACTACAGTATCATTTACGTATACTACTAGAATTCAATTAAATTATTATTTACATATTCATGGATAGTGTAATATATAGATAGTGTATAGGAAGCCGAAAATGTATAAAAATATTTCGAATTAATTTCAAACTATGGTAATTCCTAATTAATGATACGAAAACAAATATCACGAGTAATTAACTGTTAATATTAAGAATTACGTGAATTAGAAAATCAATAATATCGCAGGTGTAATGCATGGATTCGTTATTTGTTATAAATAATTAAGAGCTTCATTGTCCCGTGTAATTTATAATTCAAAGAGAGGTTCCCGCGTTTCTTTATTGCTGTCGCGGGAGTAACATAATTATTATTCACGCTTAAAGCTACATGGTTTTACAAAGCTCGTGAATAATTGCCACATTCAAGTGATAGCAAAATTAATCTACGTTCATTTTTTTAACGTCGTAATTTTCTACCAATACTACCTTCATCGTCAGTACTACCTTCAATATCATTTTTCTTCCTATATCTATGAACAATGAGTGCCTTCGATCTAAGACAAACGTTTTACCTTTTTAACGTTGATTAATAATATCTCCATATTACAATACCGTACGAAAGTTTCATGATAATTAATTTTACGAACACTTTTCACCAAATTTTTACAATTAAAATAAAATTTACATATCAAATTATTTAGACATCGTATAAATTTCTCTAGCCTCCAAAAACATAACAATAATAATCTAAAACCGCATAATTTTCTACAAATCGAAACATCGTCCATTCGAAACGATTTACCAACGAACATTTCCACCAACCAATCAATTAACCATCTTATCCACCACATATACCAAGAATCCTCGAGCACCAGAATCAATCACTCCCATCAAAACCCACTCATCCCACACGACCAAACTAAACGTCTCAAACCCGAAACAAGTCCGTGGTAATAATTTTTCATACCCTACGAACATCGACGGAACGATAAATTTCGCCATTCGAAATCGCGAGGCTTCGCCGATAGCCTGAATGCTCTGTATCAACGAGTAGGGCGAGGAAAAGGGTTGGGGGTGTGACGAGTGGAGGGGGTTAAAAATATACTTCGCGGCAATAATCGGGATGCAGGGACAAAACAGAGGAAGGCAGAGCAGATAGGTAGTCCGATGGAAGTTCCGGTTGATCGAGCATTTTCCATTGCTGCCATGACAGGGAACACGGACGCGTCGATGCTGAGCCCGTTGCTGCTGGGCCTGGCGGCAACAGCGACCCTTTTGGCCCTGGCCGTAGCCGGGATCCTGGCGGCGCTCTACCGGAAGCACTCGAACGGCCGGCCCGGAAGTCCAAAGCACGCTCCCATCGTGTGCGAGCCACCTAATGCAGGTGCAACTACTCCGGTACACCCCCAGACCAAGCAGGCGGTCGATGACATCGATCCGGACATCATACCCAACGAGTATGGTGAGTCTACGGGTTTCCGATTGTTCGAAACGTGCGCCAAATTACGGCCTACGTGCACACTAGGCGGCAGTAAAAGCGAATACGTATACGTATGCATGTATAACGGGTGCTCTTTGGATTCACGCGTGAGAATGAGAAATTTTGTGTAAAAAATTTATTTATTCATTAAATAAATATTTATTTTAAAGACAACGAAAAGATTTTATATATGTAAATGGAAGTTTCATTTTATAACAGGCAAAGATTGTTTATGTTAGAGGCAAAGAAATAATTGAAATTTTGTTACACGAGTCTCTTTATGTAACAAAAATATTGAAATTTTATGTATGCGAGTAAAAATTTGTTTATGTGTCAGGCAAAGATTATTTATTTTAGACACAAAGAAAATATTGAAATTTTATACGGGCAGAAACTTGTTTAGTTGACAGACAAAGGAAAAATTTAAATTTTATGCAAATAAAACTCTGACTTTTTAATTAATTGGGAAAAATTTTATTTTAAAGAAGAAATGATAAAAATTGCTTTAGAAGCAAAGAAAAAGTTTCAGTTTGCTATAAATAATAATCTTTAAGCGCGAATACGTATGCGTAAGAGTATATAACGGGTGTACTGAAGTTTGCTCAGTGAACTTCGATTATTTGTTGACAAATGTAGGACTGAAATTCAATACAAATCGAAGTCCATAATCCAAATACGTTTATGAGCTTTCTCACAGACTTCGAACACGTATGAATATAGATCAAATTTATTTCATTACGATTTTCACTAATTTTATCTCACGCGATATCGATTCTCGCAACCAATACAGTTGGAGCAGATATTTCTGTAGCATTTCAAACTACGAGAAATAGCATCATTTTACCTTTCACGCTCCCAGGAGTTCCTAGTTTCTGTTCAAACTTTTTCACAAAACATTTATAAACTTTTGCTACACGACCTTTCAGTTTCATTTTTGCCTTATCTGAACAATCTAACAAAGTTTATACGGAAAAATGTAATTAAACGTCTGCGGAATATTAAATACTAGCGTGTCAATCGCAATTTTCAATTTTCTATGAAACTGTTTCATAAAGCATTTATAAACTTCTCCATCACACGATACTTCGATCACATTTTTATTTTTAAACTGTCGAAACTTATTCGAAAGTGTGGAACTGAAACGAAAGTTATTATCTCGTATCACTCGTGTTTCCAATTCTGTCCTCCATTTTTTAAACTAAAACTAGCACTCTGCAGTGCACACCTAAATATACTATACGAAACCAGAAACTGAAAAAGCACGATGATATAAATTTTAAACGCAATTTCATGTTTTCGGTAATTGAAACCAGTTGTTTTAACTGGTTTGGTAGATCCGACACTGTTTCTAAAATTTTCTCTCACGTGAATATTGATCTCACTTTTACCTAATTTGAACATACCATGAAGATCATTGAGAGAACTTTCGGACACCCGATATGTACACACGTACACACGTATGCAGCACGGTTCATGCAACATTATGCGGCTACGTTTTTCGTTCCATCGCGATACAAAGTCGTTCAACTCCGTCATGCGATATTTTAATCCTTTTCGTCCGTTATTTACGGCTTTATTGGTTGTTTAATTGCACGTCTTCGGCACGATCGGCAGCTGTGATTCACGTAAGTGGAACAATCGTTGGCCGATTACCGGTGGCTCTCGCGTGCGTGTGCAGGTACGTACGTGTGCAACGTGCAATTTCTTGAATTATCGACGTGGTTTGTTCTATTTTCGTTTTAATCGTCCATTGGGAAAACGTATGGGCTATTTCCATGTTTGGTTCAACGCAGGAATTCGAATGGAATATTTAGAGAATATTCTTTGTTCTTGGTAATTCAAATCTCCCGCCTACAATGATCGAAATGGCTTCTCAACAGTGTCTCCCTCTAGTGGCGACGGTTGTACTGTGCATGCCTCACAAGAAGTCCCGTAGACAAGAAACCCTTTGCACTATAATAACGATTCTAACTCGTCACGAATTCGTGTGAAATTGTATGATTATAAAAGTATACTAATCTCGTGACTACAGTCATAATTCACACGTTTTAATATGCATGGAATTCGAAGAATCTCTAAAATTTTTATCCAATTTTGTCGTGAATGGAATACATAGTATAGTGATCAACCGAAATTAAATACTGCTTTAATGTATAATTTTTCATAATTAAATAGTAATGCAAGAGTTAATTTTCAATTGGCGAAGCATTACAAATTATTATATTTGCAATGAAATTACAGAAAAATACATTTTCCTTTAAGTTATTAATTAGAAATGTATTTTTTCTGTAAATTGTCACAGTGTAATAAAATCACGTGGCAAATAAATAATGAATGCTATATTATATTATGTATACTATAGCAATTGCAAGTTAAGTGGTTGGTCAGACCGATCACACGTCCCAGTTATAGTACGTGACAAAGATAGGATGCATAGATGGCGCAATCGAGTTCTACTACCTCTGTGTCAACTCCGGAGACTCCTTGTGAGGCACAAACAGTACTTCCCTTTATATCACCTTCGTGATTATATATATTTCCCTTCGATTGTGAATAAATCTGACTTTTTCTTCGTCGATCGTCGTTTATTTCTAACCAATATTTAAAATAGCTATTCGATCAAATTGTTATTATTTTCGAAGCATCGAGTCTTCTTCTCTCGTCAGATCGTTCGACCGGAAGTGGAAAACCTGCGGTTTATTTTATTCCGATACTCGCTCTTTGCTGATTGCAAAAGCTTGATGAAGTTGTGTTACATCTGTCAACTGAAGAATCTTTTTACTCGTTGCGCTTTGATTTCAATGAGTCGTTTAAATTGGAACGATAAAAAGGTAGAGGAATTTGCGGTCTTCTCTTTTAAATACATGACATTGATACATTTGTCAATGTATGTTGCAACGTAGAATTCCTCGAAACAAACAGTGAGGCACTCCTGGCAATTAACTAAATAATTCTTCATTCGGAACTTTGACATTCGATTCGAATTTTTATTTCACAATCGCGTTTCGAATTTGAAGGTAGCTTTAATATTAAAATGCGAATTTAATTAGCGAAATAAATGCGTTTCTGTTCAAAATACAGTGACTTCTAAACCTACATGTATACACATCCTTGATACGTCAATTTTTGTGAGGTTTCAAGGCGTTTCAAGATTTCGACGTTTTGGAAAAATCAATTTAAATAGAAAAGTTTCACAAACGTGGGTTCCAGATATGCAGTACTGTAAGGAGTCACGTTTCAAATTCCAAATCACGAAAAATACTACTACAAACCTCGATATACATAAAATGAAAAGATAAAAGAATTTACGGTGTTTCCTTTCAAATATCGTGATTTAAATTTCACAATCAGCTCACTGTCACTTGAATTAAAATTTCGTACGCATTTCGAATGTTCTAAAAAGTCGTTTAATTTCACATAGTCCTTTGTTCACAACTGCAACATTCAATTTCTATTTTCATCCCGCAGCCACGTTCGAACTCTGGCGCAAATTTGTTTAATTTTTGGAACACGCGTTGAGCGAAGAAAAATAAAAAGTATAAAGATCGACAGAAACGCGATTGTCGTCTGTCCCCATTAAAATGCACGGAAATGTCAATGGCGATTGCTTTGGCGTTCTTTTTCCATCAAAGATATTTCCGCGTCGCGTAACAATGGATTTCGAAATGCATTGTCAGGTTAAACTGATACACTTCGATACACATTAATAAATCGGAAATGTGATGCCTTTATCCATAATGAATAACGATCAGCGTGTACTCGCCAAATTTCTACATTATTATCTCAGTATTAACGCGAACGGAAGTAAGCAATCGGTGTCGATAGCTTTGTACGTGTCAAAAGAAAAATTAACGAAATGAGAAACTGGCTTATGAGAATTTTTGAATCTTTGTTATCCTACTGTTTAGCATTAAACTATCCACAATTTGTGCGCATGCGTAATGTACGAGTTGGAGATGAGCACCTAATATTTCCTTTGCCTTTCATGACACGGGAAGTTCTCATTTTTAAATATTTTTCTAAAATATTATTAATGCCTTTTATTAGAAAAGCGTGCCTTTTGTTCTATTTTCCATGTGACAAAATTAAAAATAAATTTGTTATATTAGGACTAACAAGGCCCATTCCCGAATTCTCATTGTCCAGGAATCCAACAGATGGCGGCACACACAACTGACCGCCAAATACAAATGTACATACTACTCGCAGCACATAGATTCGAAGATACTCTTTCGAAAAATTATAAGAAAAAATCTAAATCTAGTAGTCTTCGAGTAGTCCACTGTCTACTTGAACTTCCTCATTTCGTTTGTTCCAAAATTATTCCAAATTGCACTCCGTCGTATTATCTTCTTAACACTTTAATGGCCGCACGTTTACATAGTCAAACGTTGCCAGGGGTCGGCAGTATTTTTGAAGAATTAATTTAAAAAAGCTCTATTTAAAATTCACGAAATAATACAACATGTGCGAACATACGCATAAAACAAAAAACGATGACAATTTAACAACAAATTTAATATTTTTCCTTTGTGTGATAATTATTAATCGGCGATAGCATCACACACATGTTGTGTGATCGGACGTTAAAGTGTTAATTACTTATATTTTGCGGTCTTCGAAGAAAATAGGATATTAAATCGTTTACTGCAAAAGAAAAATGGAATATTGCTTTACACGTATTAGGAAGAAAATTTTTTCCTGCAGAGTACATGGAGTAAAACCGTGGTCTGTTCATAAACTTGCCGTTGTATAGCATGCGCGGAGACCGCTCTCGTGTAGATTTAATCGACTAATCTACTTAGCGGACGCGGAACTTTGAATGGCTTCGTTCGAATCTGTTCTCAGAGAGAAGACCTCTAACGTACACCCCGATATATAAGACACCGCCGCAACGGAGAAAGAAGGATCGAGTCGTGGACGAGGCGATCTCGCCTGAGAAAAGGCCGATCGTGCAGCACGGCCTGGATCTACCCCCGGACCCGATGTTGACCGACTGTCTACCAACCCCGACCATAAATTATCCCCAGAACCACGTGTCCCAGGCGAACGCTTACAGCAATCCACCCACAATGGCGGACTTCAAGCAGATGGCTTACAATCAGCGAAACAACCAAAACGTGAGTGTTCGAAGAGCTTTTTTGATGGAACATAAAAATTGGACGAGCAATAATAAAAACGAAATTCGTGGAACCCGTGTTTGAAATCTGTCTTTATGAAAGAGTTAACCTCTGGAAATAGTCAACCCTCTAACACGATCGATTCGTTTCGTGTTGCGTCGAAAACGTGTTCAAAGGAACCTTTAAATTTTTATTTTACCTCCGAGCGAAATAAACTTTCTTTCCGATGCTTTTGTTTCCCTTTTCCTTTTCCGTTGCTTTGTCAGATATTATAAAAATGTATTATTAATAAATTTTCATACGTTAATATCACCATTCGCCATTTTTCTTGACCTGCTTTCCAATCGACGATTGTTAAACGTAAGTACCAAAAGATCTCGGTTACCTCGAATGCTAAATTCATATTTTCGACCGCCTTTGCGATACATTTTCCAAGTTTCAGCTCATAAAAAAGTTTCGCGAATATTGCAATGATTCACGAGCTCAAATAACCAAGTTCTAATCGGTTCTTAACATTCAACAAACGCGTGCTATATAAAATTTCCAACTTATGGCGCGCTTTATAATAATCAAATCTCGCGCGAAATTCAATTTATGCTAATTTAGAACCTGGAAAAAATACGGAGTACCTGCAGCCATCCTCTGTAAAAATTATTTTGTCAAAAATTAATTTCTAAATACCAGTTAATTTTACTTTATCTAAGTTGATTGCTCGTTGTGTTAAAAAATGTTTTATACACAAAAAATTACAGAATCCCATATAGAAAAAGAATTTACATTTATATGTGTCGTCATGGTGAGCGTATTAAAAAAATAATTCATAATTGGAAACATTTTTGATACAATCAGCAATTAACGAGTAATTTTCTTTCACATATTAAAATCGAGCACTCTGTATATCGAATAATTATGGATATCATAAATTTTACTTTATTAACACGTTAACAGCCATATAAGTTTTACACGCGTCACGGTAGAATTTTCATTATGATACACTGTACTATCCAATTTGTAAAATACATACATCATGTGCTCGTTAAAACCCATAACCGTTGAATAGTGTTTTTTATTTCATAAAAATTTCCAGTTACCTGCGTCGTTTGAAATTTTTCCGTCGACGATATTTATTTCCCTCTACCCGCCTAAACGATGAACAATGCGTCCTCCTCTGAAACGAAATTCCAGCCTCGAGTGATCAACGTCGTTGTCGGGACATTAATAATACCTTATTAATTATACTTTATTCCAATTTCACCTTATACACACAGAGCCCCCGGAGGAAACTCAAACATCCGAGAAAAATAAACAAATTTCCGAGAAATTCGAAACTTCGAAACTTCAAATATTAACATTACAATCGTGACGGTGGATTCCGCTGAAAACTCAGATTCGCTCTATTCAAATGAGATTCCCCGAAATTCTTCCACGGAGATACTGCCGCGAACGCAACGGTTCGCGACTCGCTAACGTTCCCCGACGGAAAATTCCAAAAAAGTCGAAGAGAGAGTAAACCAAGCTGGAAGGAGAGTACGAAACATCTTCGGGACCAGCCGAGATTTCATTTTCAACCCTCTGCAGCCTCCCTGCGGCATTCCATGGACATTCCCGTGCGGCGCGGAAAGGACGGAAAGCGTGGCCGATATCCCGGAAGCGGAAACGATCGATCGACCACGCGGCCGTATAAATCATTCCGACAATTAGCCCCGTAAACTCATTACGGTCTGTAAATTTAATCGGGTCCCTTTTTTAGCGATATCTAATAGAGTGTATTTAGTCGAAGCCGTTTGATTAATGAGAAGCAATTAACGCTTCCCCTAGCCGGCGCAGGACAGTCTGGCAAAGGAAAGGGTAGCAACAGGGGACGGTTATAGGGGGGAAGCAAGCGAATTACCGAACGAACGATCGATAAAACGTGATACAATATTCAACAGGGATGATCGCGTTCCTTTTTCTCGCCCGCAGAAAGTAATACGATCGATCCCCACCCCCACCCACCCCCGCCCCATTGTCACGATCTTCGCCATTTCTCTCGCAAGCAAACCGACAAGCTTGTTTTAAATATTCCAAGTTTCGAAGACCACCATTCCACTTTATCTTTTCCGGTTTAGCGAAGCCTTGGGTTATCTGCGCTTCCGCGAGTTTAATTACGTCGAAGTTTCCTCGATAATTCGAGAGGGCCAGTCCAACGATGCCGCGTAACTCCGTCTTGAACTCGACTTCCGTTTCCCTTCGACGGCCGTTTCCCTTCGACGGCCGGTCGCCTTCCATTTAAGTGTCTGAATAATTTTAATACCGATCCCGGGGCCCGACCGCCTACAACCGGTTACTCGCCCGCTCTTCATTAACCCGCCCGATATTCCTCCTCGATGTTTTCGTTCCTCTGTTTTTGTTTTCCTCACGGAATTACGTAACCCGCCGCGGTTTTCGATTATTTTCCACGTCGCTCGCGCCCAACCCCACGCCCCCCTGCGAAGCTCGGCTGTTCCATTATTAATTCCGACCCCGAATTTGCAATTTTCACAAGTATCGATGCATTTGCATTTACCGTTCTCTCCCTTTTTTCCCCCCCTCTTTCCAATTTTCTGTCCTGCTCCGCCGTTAGCGCGCGTTTTCCACCGGCGGTATCGTAAATCGAAAGTTTCGCTTATTTTCCGAACGAGCAGTTTATGCAGCTTCCGGGATGCGATATATAGATTATATCGATCCCGGGTCCGTTTTAACGTGGCCGATTTTTGCATCGATAATTCGGTTTTAAGTGCCGCGATGTTACACGGACGAGCATGGATGGGAGTCTCGGTATGGTTGACACGGGTTCGCAAGGGGGTTCCGAGGCGAGTCTGTAAGTCCAATTACGCGGGGCAACCATGTTGCTCGGAACGTTGCGCGCTCGATTAATGGAGTGTAACCGATCTCTTGTTTAGAACACGGTTTAACGATATGTGCAAACACGCATAAGCATTTGTAGGATGTTTGACGAGTACGGTGTCGGGGGAGAATTGTTGCGGGAACGGTTGGTAAAATTGATAGACGGTACGCGAGTACAGGTATCGATATTGGTAATAGCGTTAGCTGTTCACTCGTTCCATTTAATTGACTAATCCCTAGACTATTAAAATCTCTTGAGTCGACTAGAGGACTGTAGACCAATAATTGCCGCGGGTAAATTATTTCGCGACACTTCGGTGATGTATAATGCGATGCAATATTATAAGAACAAATAAAATTTTTAAAATGCACTGCATGTTTCAGACAGGGTAATTAAAAAATGCTGAAAGTGTCATGCGAGCAATAGCATAATCGATTCTACGCGAAAAAATAAGACGAAAATGTGAAAAAATATTTTCCTGCGTGGCTTCGTTTTTGAGAAAACTGATTTTAAATATTCGTTGGATGGCGGTTGATACGAATAGCTATAATTTAAGGGTAAAATGTTAATTAAGAAGACCGATGCAGTGTAATATTTTTCACTGAAAATATTTATAAACACATTCCTGAGTGGGGATATTAAAATACAACGAAATCTGTTAAATCGAAACATAATTAGACGCGCGATTGTTGAACACATACAGGGTGTCCCAAAAAACGAGTACACACTTTAATATCTTATTCTTTCTAATTTATTTTTTCTTTTCTAGGTACAACCCATTTGAAATAATGACTGATTTTAAACTAGACTTTTAAAAACGTAATGAAAAATTAAATCTTTTGCATAAACGTAAGGAAAAAATAAAAATTGTTTTTATAATCACGCAAAGTGTGTATACATTTCTTTGGGACTTATGTGAAGTCATTTTTCTCGAAAACGAAGGTTTGTATAAAAAAATTTTATTTTATGTTTCCTAGTTATTGTTTGATGTAGAATTATCCTCCTTTCGACTGTACCAATTTTCGAGCAGATTATAAATTTTATTTCGGTATTTGCGATGGTCTCAAAGAAAAATTTCAACAATTTATTTGGACCTCTACGCGTTGCTTTGTCACATTTAATTTAACGAATTTTAAATATTCGGTTGAAAGGAAAATATAGAAGCGAGTTTTGCCGGGAATTATTTGCAAGGGGGTTGATAAGTAACGACTCATAAAAACGAAGTTCATTTATTTTCAATTTTAAAACCTGTTTTGGAATATCTTTGAAATATTAAACGAAAACAGAGCGCGTTGACGTAATATGGAAACGTGCAAACTCAATTAACATTGAAAAAACAGGTTAGAAAAAGCGCATTTATCTTTCAGAAGAGTCTCCAAGGACGTGGACTAACCTTCCGCAAGGCATTTAACGTTTCACGCTCCCGACGCAATTAACTGGAACTCAATTTTAGCGAATGTTTACATCCTTCGGAAAGCGTTAAAGAAGATAATTAATCTCTCTCCGTGGCATCGTAAACCGGTTAAGCGCTAATTTCTGCCGAACTGGACAGCCATTCGAATTCGTAATTGCATAATTATCACTTCCGTGGGAAACGTGCAGTTCTCTGGTTCAAGTGGTGTTTATCGATATGTTTCACGTTATTAAGCACCCTATTTGTACCTTTGAAACACGGCAAGTCCCAAATTTGCGTAAATCCTCGTGAAGCACTTAAATCTTGTTTTCCTATTAAGGATTTCGATAATTTCTATTCGCTAAAAATTTTTCCCTATTTTTGCTTTCATTTAATTCAAAAATTGAATCCTCTCACTACATTTCCTATATCTTACGTTTCTCTTTCTTGTACTTTTACTGTTTTATATTTTATTTTACAAGTGTAATATTGGTTCTTGAATGCTTTTAATACTAATACGTATTTTAAGGTTTTTAAAAAATTCATTAAAATTCTGAAATTTTACACATGTAATATAGGTATCTATTTTTTCTAAGATTTGTGCGAAATTCAATTTTTTTCTAAACGCAATTATCTTTCTACCTTGTATTCATCAACTTTTTAACAAACCTTATTATTTATTCCTGCTTCATTTATCAAATCTGATTCTTCATTATTTACGTATATTTATACTCCTTCTTCATAGTAACAAGTTCATAGTACTTCGAAACTGACCTTATCGATCAACCCTCATCGATCATGTCATAAACCTTGTCCAATTCGAAGAAATGCATATTCTCGATGCCTCGCGTCCCAGCAAAGCCACTTGGGTTCAAAGCACTGACACAAACTGCCTCGTCTATCAATCGACAAACGTCCTCATTCTATATTCACACTCACTACCTCTACCAATTTTCTAAAAAGAGGAACGTTTAAAAAAATGAAGAGGTTACGGTCTTCCAACAGCCAGGTCTTTAGGGCCAAAACAATTCGGCATTGGAATTTTCCTGTCTATGCCTTCTGCATGTTTGAAAACTTTCTCTTTTATTATGACATCTCATGCCGCGGAACACGAGAATCCGCGAGAACCCTAATTTAACGAAATTAGGCGACGGCACTTAAGACTTGGCTGTCAATAGGCCTGAGAGCTCCACGTAGTCCGCACACGTTGGGGTCTACGGGCCCTAGCAAGGGGCCATAAACGGCGGAGGGGGTCACCAGCACGCGAGTGGACCCCGCGTACCTCACCTCGAAGGAGTGGATTCCCTCCACCACCGTCTTCGTTTGGCAGGACCTTCCCTTCCTTCCAGGTGACCGATTTGCGGACCAAGGGAACGCCCTTGGTCCAATTAGCCAATAATATTTGGTGAGCTCCCGATTTTCCCTAAGACCGATCTTAGGAAAATCGAGGAGAACACTTCGAAACGAAATCTCAAGGAGAACAGTTCGAGACTTCCAATCGAGACCTGAAAGAGAGCAGTTCGACGAAAACGTCAAGTCGAGATCGATTCCTATCGTCGTACCAGAGTCTAGCGTTCGACTCCAGCCGAGATCTTCCTTTTGCTCCTGATAATCGAAACAGTTGTCCAATATTAATTTGGCGGGCAACATAACGAGATCGCGAGACGGACCTACAGCCCCTCAGAATTTCCCGAAAATTCAATCGCGACGCGACAGTATACCTCTGCTTTAATATGAAGTTGAAGGTGGAGGACGAGAGGTTTTTTGGGTGAAAAGAGCACTACGTTTTCTTAGCGAGACTTTATTATGTGCGGGGGACCAGATGCGGAAAATGGAAGGCTGGCTTCTCGGGAAGAACCCGTGTCGTTGAAGAGGCGTACGCGAGCTGAACTCTTTTTCGCTATCCGTTAGACGTCGAGGTGGTCATGAGGCCCTGGTCGTAAAGACATAAACCATGCCCTCATTGAACCGCGGAAGCCTCGATGTCGCGAAGGAGTCAAAAATATATACAAGGAACCTTCGCTTTCCGCATCTGGGATGTGTCCCTACAAAATAATTTTCCGCGTGAACGATGAAAACCTGTTCTCCGAAAACGTAGAACCTTTCAACTGATTGCAGGTGTACTACAGTCTCCAGAGGTCAGGCAAGGGCCTGGGGTCGATGCCGCAGAGGCCAGTCTCCTCGTCGGTGTCGGCGCAGGGGAAGTTCCATCAGCCGGAAGTGGTGACGCGCTCGAATCGAATACAAGAGAGTTGTATATAAAACTGGCCGGGGGAGAAGTCTCTCTCGACGAGCCGGGGAACTCGAGTGGCTCAGTGAGCGTTCGCGAGGAAAGCCAGTTGCGGAGGAAACGGGGAAGCCAGCATCCATTCCGCGGGAAACCGAGTCCGACTCTTCTCGCCAACTCGTCGTTGCGTCTTCCACCGTCGTCGACGCGCGAAATTTGAACGCGAGACATCGCGAGCATTCCCTACGCGGAGCGAAGCGGACTAACGAAGAGTAAAGAGCAGCAGCAGGGAAAACAGGCGGAACCGGGAAACAAAGAGGGGAAAGGTGGCAAATAATCGGCGAGAAATTGCGGGTCGTCGTGAGAGGAACGAGGACCCGCACGAGGATAGACCGGCTATCCGAGTCGCGTGCACGAGATTGGACACAAGTGGATATCGAGTTACTCGCGGAGTTAATGAAACGTGGATGATTAGACAGGGACTCGTTGCTTGATGGAGTGGATCGGATCTCGTGATAGGATTCGATCGTTCGTTCTTTTTCTACCTGCAGATTTTTATAACAGAGCTCTCGGCCACGTTCGCGAATGAAACGAGGACTGGGAGAATAGGAATAGGGGTTGGACGAGGGAGAAAGCCCGATTCGACGGGGTAGAGCCGACAGAGGCTACGGAGCACACGTTGGGACGCGATGTGGGGTGTCTGGCGGTCTTCGTTCCTGTTCACGGGCAAGCACGACTGGTAATGGGATCGTGCATTTTACTGTTTATATGAGATTAGTTTTTGTACAAAGGATCTATTGTAAATAGGCGAGTCAGCCTGGCCCTAGTGGATAGTCACCGATGTCCGAATTTCATTCGCTAAAAAAGTCACGTGTTAAGTCTGGCAGAGGATTGTTCGGTCACGTAAGATAAATACTCGATGGCATACGAAATAAAGAGAATACGTTTCATCTGTTTTACAGAAACCAGAGAGCCTCGCCTACTTGTCCTGCCCTCGCCTCTCCTCGTCAACCTTCTCCCGATCTTCTCTATTAAAAGAGCAGAGAAAACGTGGGCAACGAGCAGCCGAAATTTCGTTCGCACGTGAGCAGAATGACGCTGCAGCTGACCACCGGTCCTCCATTCGGGAGGAAATCTTATCCTCGTGAATCTCCGTCTGCGTTAAGACCTGGGAGCAAATTTATTCTCGCGGGATTCATCCCGATGAGTGAATTCGGTAGTTCGGTCCCGATTGGAGGATGGTCGTGTCAGGGTTAACCTTTCGTTTCGGTATAATCTGATATTTAATATCGAGTTATTATATTATCATTTTGGGGATCATTTAGCCTTCTCGAGAATTTATTTTCTTTATCGAATCGTGTACACCTACTTTGTATTATTTCCGTTCAGCTGTAAACCAGGCTGAACGTTATCGTTTGGATTCATTTTTGTTTGCTACTGTAAGTGGATGTTAAGTCAATATGTTTTGTGTATTATACCGCTTCAATATACGTTTCTTTTGTCATTTGCCTTGTTGATTTTGCCATTTATTTTATCGAGTATTACCCTTCGTTATTGCGCTTCTGTAACACGCGTTGCTGGAGACAGGTACGAGGTTTGAGGTACTTTGCTTTTCTATTGATCTACTGTGTCAGTAAAGATGGCGTTCCGTAAGGAGGAACGGAATATAATTATTCTACTCTATTTTAAATTTTTAGAAAATGACAGCGTATGTTAGACCTACACGGGCTAAGCTCTGAAACTTATAGAGCTCCTTCTACTCTTTCTGCATTTATGCAAAAATGAGCTTTTATTTGATTCGCTGAAGTATGTAGTAGTAAGGAGTGACTTTAGTTTCCTTTCTAACACGTTAAACGTCACAGTTAGTCGCCATGCAGATCCTTCTGGGCCGTACGGCCCGGCGGGGCCTGAAGGGAAAGCCTAACGCCAGTGCCTAGGGACCCACGTGGCGTTTAACGTGTTAATCATTTTGTCCCTTACAAATGACAATAGTGGTAAGATGAGAGTCCCTTTCATGACCAGGATTGTCATATGTTGTCATAAAGTGCAAGCCTCGTACTTTGTTCAGTAATGTATCTTCTAAAAACTTTTTCACCTTCCCATTATTATCGTTATTTCTATTTTTATTTGGAAGAAAGTGTATTTGAAACATCGACCAAGTCTGCCTGATGCACTCTACGAGTGCAGGATCCTGTTCAGATTACGATGCAGGTAAGTGTAATTTTATATTTATAAACTACTTCGTCTATTTTGTTCAGAAAATATGACACGTCCCTGAAAAGAGTCTAGAAAATTCTCTGGTTAAATTTATTTTTCGATCTTTTTCCTGCAAAGCTTCCACTAGCATAGTGCCAAACTGGGAAAGTCTCTAACTCTCGTTCACTCACACTGATTAACCCGCGCCGTTTATTCGTGCTCACGCACATTCTCTATTTTTCAACCTCTTTCAGGCACATTCACGCAAAACGTTGGGTATTCACTTCATTCACACGATAATCTCGAGCACTCGATTCAGACACTCTTCTATCACATCTCTGACACTCTGGACCAAGTATCCTTCATTCGCACGTTTATCTTTGTTCTCAAACACTCTTGACTCTTTCTGTGCAAATTCCATCATAGCATTCCCGCGCGCTTCTATCATAGCATAATCAAATATTCATTAAGGACATCGATCTGCTACCGTTAAAGGAATACTGACACAGTTATAGTATTGGAATATTCTGGGCAACATTTGTTAATAGTTTCAAAGATGCTTACTCTCGCGGAACAAATTGCTCAAAATATACTAACAAGTACTATGCTTCCAACATCACCAAACTGTTACCTAGCTAATTAGAACACCAGTTCTGGTTTCACGCTTCACGTCCACGCCGAAGGACGCAAACCATTAAATAACCGCGTAGCTAGCACTACACTGGCGATTTATGACACGAGAATTACCAGAAAAAGAAATGAGCATTAATCAATTGCGCTGGAAAGACGTGCCACGCTCGTCGTAATGCTTTTGTCTCAGAATCGCCAACGACGTGGTATACACGTCATCAAGCAATTGTCACATAAACACTGGACCGTTCTGGCACACGCATCTATGAATTTCTTGCCAGCGAAAGTGGTTATGAGATCACGATACAAGTACCAAGCTATGACAAAATAAAACATAAATCTGCCAAACCAAAAACCTTAATAAAAGACCCATATGAAATTACCCAGTTTCTGTCATCGATTGAAAAATTGTTGCCTCCCAATGGTGTCGTTATTCTCCAAAGTAACGTATTACTTGAAAATCAGATTACCACGAAATCTCATCCGACACACTCGATCATTGCCAATTTATCCCAGAGATATAGACAGCGTAAGCCATTGTACACCCTAGATCAAATACAGCAGGAGTCAATCTTCGTGTATCGAACCATCAGCTCGAGGACCACACGTTAACTATAATTCTAAAGGATCACGAGGAAGAAGCTCTCGCGTGTCTCCGCCATCTCCAGAGCGTTTTAAGGAAAACGGATAGCCACGTCACGGTTAGTTTTGAAGGGAGCTCGCGAAAGCGGGTTGACAAGGAGCAGAGGACGCGCCCTATTGGCGAGGGCGCATTAATTCGAGCATTTCCAGGGAATCCCGTGGCGCGACGGTGTTTGCATACATTGTGCACCTTCGGTCTTGCTAACAGGGACTAACCCGGCACACCGACGAACCCTATTATTCCATGTGCCAGCCGTGTCTCTGGGGCTGTTAAGACGACCCGTTCTCTGCACCTAACGTTCGCGCGGCCCACCCCGAGCTCCCGACTGTCACCCCATTCTACCCTGTGAATACACTATGTAATTACGATCCATCCAACCATTGTAATCCGATGATTTTGTAGTGGATACAGATGTGGCGAACGCCCATGATCGTCGTTGCTCCATCAGCGAAAGCGTCTAACGCTGACGTGTAATTGGTCCTTCGAATTTTGGATTGACTGTGCACCGTGGAACTATGCATGTGTACCGTTTGCAGGGACGTCGGAGGATGCTTGATTTTGCTTCGATGGCTCGTTTGATGGGCTATCTTCGTGTCTGTGATAATTGCTGTCTCGGGGAACGCGATTGCCACTGTGCGGGCCCTGCTTTTCCGTTTGTTGCTACTTGTTGGTGGTTGTTAATTTCACGACTTGATTTGTTTGTTGACGTAGAAGGCAGATGATAATACGAGCAAGATCAAAGGCCGTTTGTCACGAAGCGTGGATTAAATTGGAAGATTACGACAAATGGGTTCGAATAATTATTGGGGTAAGCTATTTCAAATGTTTGAAATGAGGAAATAATGTTGTTTAAGCCAGTACGAATTTTGATAACAAAAGGAAAAGAATTTTGAGATTAAGGAGAAAGAAATTTGTATAATTATTTGAAAAAAGATCCAATTTAAATGACAATTTCATGTAGATTTACCTTTATGCGTGGCTAAAAGTTACACGATAGTGTGCAGTTTTAATGAAGAGATTGAATTAAGTGGTCATTGAAGAATCTAAACATTGGATAATTAGGAGTACTCGGCACATTTTAAAAACATGCATTTGAAAATAATATATATTTTTTAATTTTTTAAATGTATTTACCTCTAACCTCACCTCGTGTTGCTGACAGTTACACGATGGTGTAAGGCGAAATTAATTGGATACTGAAGAATATAAACATCGAATAATTAGGAGCATTCGGTATATTTTAAAAACATGCATTTGAGAACGATTGAAAGTCCTAATATATATTTTTTAATTTTTTAAATGAATTTAATCCGGTATGAGAGTCACTATCTTTTCTAAATAAGAAGTTTAATATTTTTCGTCCCAAGCTCAAGATGTGGAAAACGCAAAATTAAATATAGAATGTATATGAACCTAAAAGCTGTTATGACATACTGCACGCTAGTCACAAATTTCGCATCGATGCTACCGAAGGAATAAATCGTAATCTAAATTCAGAGCAAAGTGTTCTGAGAACGACTTATTGGAATCGGTACTACTTCCATAAAATGTTCATAAATTACAGTT